ATGCAACGATTTTTGCATGACTTATGGACCTAAAAAATGAGAAAAATTAGAGATTTGGAGGATCTACAAGATATCGTTCTATCTCCAACTTGAGAGGATTGGAAGTACAGTTGTGTTATATTTAGAAGCGTACTTTGCTACATAGTAGCCTTTTATCCGAGGGGTTGGAAAACAACACCTCTAGTATCCTACGGAAATCTGTATAAGTTTTTGTCATTTTGACCAGCTTAGGCCGTTTAATACAATCGGCTACCAAACTTGCTCGAGTAAAAGTAACAATTTGACTCCCTTTTTCTAACCTTAAATATTTTGATAGAATCCATAGAGACAGATCCTTCCACTGTGATGTTTGTAACGTATGCCTGGACAAACGTCTTGAAGGAAAACATAAGTGCAGGCCTGATTCAGGACACGATGAATGCTGCATATGTCTCGAGGTGATGTAGTTTTTCTCGATGGATGAATTACTACCCTAAGTGTCAGGAATCCAGTGTATTCATAATCATACAAGTCATGTAGTTTTAGGAATGACCTTTTCTTACACTTCTTGCTTCTTGAAGTAGTAAATTTCCAATCAAGTTTAACTTAATTTAATTTGTAATTCCAGTATTTATCATTGTTGTCCATGCCTTCTTTTTTTGTACGCTCGACCAGAAAAAAGCCAATCGCCCTTTTATTTTATAATTAATTTTTTAACACGTCGTATACGCCCCAAAACATTTCCCATTTTTCAAAAACTCGATCTAGCCTTAAAAAATATTCATAAAAGTTAAATTTAGCCACAGATAACTTTTTACCTTGTTAGTGTAGCATGAAGTAAACATGAACGAGCTGGGAGAACTGGACACAGCCTACTATCTCAGCCATTTCACAAATTTCAAAATTTAAGCAATAGCTCTTAAAGCAGCGACATTTTGATCTAGCCTCTATCCTTTAACTTTGTCGTAGTAAAACCTATATTGATACATTTTTTTTTTGCTCTCGTCACAGGATGCCTTCAGTGGTTGTCAAATTCTCCCCTGCTCTCACAAGGTTCATAAGGACTGCGCCATTGCGATGATACAAAATGGCGTGTATGTATTTCTTGAAACCTTACTCACTTCTGAAGATA